ATAACACTCTGGAGGTCCAGTGGTCAGGGCATACTGGGGCATACCTTTTGAAGTAAAAGGCAAATTTTTGCACATTTTTCCTTCTGTCACGAAGGAGGAATCACAACACCCTGGGAGCCTCTTAAGGTTTTAGGTGCAACATATCCCAGTCTTAGGTCTTCTGCTCCATCCCTTATACCAGATTACAAAGAAGGCTGCCAGCTGTGCCTGAAGCCCAGAGCAATAAAGCCCTCTGCATCAAGTCCTGGCTGCCACTTGGACCACATAACCCGACAGATCATGTGATGTTGGAGGCATCAGTGGTAGAAAAAGATGTGGCATGGTATATGTGGCAAACTTCTCTTGGGAGAATCACAATTTAGGCCTCAAGGGTTCTAGACTGAGGCCACACCATCTGAAGAAGAGGAGCATATGCCTTTTGAAAAAGATCTTCTGACATGCTTCTAGGCCCCAGTAAAAATGAAACACCTAGCCACAGGGTACATGCAAATGGAACTATCATGAGCTGAGTCTTATCAGATCTAGTAAATCACAATCCCAGGTGAATCTAGTAAGCATCTATCAGCAGATGAAAAAGAACTAGTCAGGGTTGATCAGGAGCAGGACTAGAGGGCACAAGCAAACTGTAATTTTAGGTGGCCTAGATTCCCGTGGCATATACCATTCTTTTGCTAGAGCCCCTCCTTCAGCATATACCTTTGCTCTTGTTAATCTCTTTTCCTTGTTGTTGCTGTTGCGGTTGTTGTCTCTGATGATGATGATGATGATGATGATGATGATGATGTGTTGGTGGTGGTGGTAGAACTTTACCCATGATCCAAGCAATGGATAAGCAAAGAAATCTTTTCTCTCTGACACACTACAAGATTAGAGGACTTGATTCCCAAAGGGGATGCACCTTCTCCAAGGGCGCAGCAAGAGATCCATCAAAGGAAAAGCTACACTGCTGCCTGAGAACAACGAGAGTCTTGTATCCAGTGACCAACAGGCCAGAAGAGAGGGCCACTGCAATGGCAGGGGTAATGTGACTTAATTATCGGGAAGAGGTGAGGTTTCCTCCACCATGGGATAGGGAAAAATATGTGTACCGATCTTAATACTACCAGGTCCAGTTGTGACTAGAAGTAGACCAGCGCAACAGTTCCAGCCTGAGAAGGGCATAATGATCATGCAGCTCAGTTCCTTCAAAAATGAGGGTATGGGTCAGGCCAATCCGAAAGCTGCGAAGGCCAGCAGAAAGCAGTAGCTATGGGTGAGAGTGACCTGGGCTGGACAGTGGAGGAGGCAGGTGCTGAGTATTAATTGCAACCCAGAGATCAGGTCAGTAGTGAGGGCTGAGTTTCTCTCACTAATTTCATTCTTCTAAATTTCCCCTCTGGAAGAGAGGCTTCAAGAAATCCAGAAGGAAAGGGGGCAAGGAATGAACTGTGGTAGGCACAAAGATGTGCCAACAAGGTCCACATCAAGGAAGAACACGTTGCCCAACAGTGGGGGTCGAGGCCCGGAGTCTCAGGCTCATCTATCAGTTCCTTCAAGGTCTGCCTTGTCTGTAGAGAAGTATTGATCTCAATTTGTACCCTGCCAGAGGCACCCTTGCCTCTGGTGACTGAGTGAGGGAAAGGTACCCAGGCCCGGGCACTTCCATCCACGCCAGAGCTCCTTGCTGGGACTGCTGAGGCTCCATCAGGCCAGCATGATGAATCACTTTCTCTCTCCCTCTCCCCCCAACTCTGCTTCTTCCCCTTTTCATTCACAGGTTTGGATCCTTTATAAACATCTTCATAACAAGCTCCATCTCACGATCTCCTACCAGTGAGCCTAACCAGGAAAACTCCACATCTCATGCCTTTTTTTTTTTTTTTTTTTTTTTTTTT